ATGAAGAAAAGAATATTTTATTTGTATGCAAAAAAATCGACCAAATTATTTTCCCATTGCATAATACTTTAGCAAATATAAATAGGCGTATTTTTGAAATATTAGAAAGTTAAGGCACGGATATATTTAAAGCAAAATTTATGATGTACCTTTTTAAAAATCTATTGATTAATTTGAATTTGATAATTGAATTCATTTTTATATTTCGAATTACAATTGAGTTGAAATTCTAGAGTTATGGGAAAATTGTAAACAAATGTTCTGTCTAAAAATGTGGTAGATTTTAAGCCTTGTGTGGTAGATGTGGTAGACACCCAAATTAAAAAAAAAAAATACGTGGTTGATCTACCACACATGTGGTAGAAGCTTGCACACTGTTCTAAACGTATGTTTTGAGCAAATTGATGTTTAAAGCTAGCAATATATCCCATGTCCATTTTCCAAAACTATAATAATAAACATGGCAGTTTTTTAGCAATTTGGTTCCTGTAATTAAGGAAATATTGTAGTTTTGGCATTTTTCGAAATTACCATTTTATGAGAGGGACCAGGTTATTGTTCGACTTTTGTATTTTCAATACCCTGCTGCCCTAGATAAAAAAACCCTCGTACAGAATTTGGTTGAGATATCTCAACTTTTGCTAGAGTTTTCGTGTACGCAAATAAACGGACATGGACTAATCATCTTCTCTTTTTATTCTGAGCATTTTTATGTATATATACATACATAAGTAGTACATACGAACATAAATGTATGTATCCATATCGATTAATTTTGGTTGTTCCAAATATACGTTATTTGAAAAAAAGTTATGGTACCCTCTTGCAGAACTGCGTTGTAAATATGTTTAGGAAACATTTAAATTAATAGTTAATTAAAAAAGTTGCTCAAAGTAATGGAACTCCTCAACCCCTTTAAAAAAAAACAGGAACCCTTCTGAAATTTTGTTTTGAAAGTTTTCATATTTGAAAACTGAAAAAAATCACAGTATACAGCAAACCAGCCATTGACAATATGCTTATTTGAAAACTAATACATGAAATGTTGTGAATATATAGGATTTTTTTGTCATTAACCCATAGGCAACAACTGGTGCAAAAGTACCTACAAATGTTTGTTGATATATTTGAAATGTAAATTTGAACAGCAAAATTCGTAAAACAAATTATAATAAAACAAAAATATTGTTAATTACTACGTGGGAGGTGGGCGTGGTAATTGGCAGATTTCGACAAAATTTAACACTAACCTAAATTATACCAAAGGCAACTTCGACACCGACTTTCGTTAAAATAACTAAATTTTGTTCGAGTTAGCGTGTTTACAAACAGAGAGGGCTGAACTAGTTCATCTCGTCATTCTTAATATATGTGTATATACGTACATACATTTTATACGGTTAACAAACGCGCTCGCTTATCTGCATAAACCGTCTTTACTTGCATTAATTCATGCATTATCCTCTTTCAAATGTGAATAATCGGCTGAACAAATACACACAAATTACGGGCATTTGGAAATTGGAGAGTTGTACCATAAGCTAAGTAATACTTCTTTTACCGCCTAATCGATGGGACCATTTTACAAAGTCAGCCCACCATTATTCACTCAAAGTTGTGTTCAGAACACGGTTTACTTATGTAGGAACTGCATCCGGTCATAATTGCTAACGCTTCACGCTTCATTTGCTTGGAATTTCGTGTTTCTCGTTATTTCATTTTATGTGACTTGGAAATATTTTTCACTATAAGAAAATATTTAAATTGGATTTCATTTGGGTTAACGAAAACGACAACTGTGAAAAAATATCAACCAATACATTCAAACAAAATGTCAAATAAGCATGTTTACATTTTTTGTTTTGGCTACCTGGATCACTGTATACTGTGAAAAAAATATTTAGTACAAAAAATAATTGTGATAAATCAATTTTGTATATTCTTCTGCGAAAAAATGTCTACAATCGATGATGTATATGTATACATATCAAGATGTGTCTGTTTTGCTCTACAGTTGCGATAAGTTGCTTTGGAATAAATAATATTGCACGAGTCATTGGCTTTGGGTTAGTGGCAGAAAACTTCAATACATAAGTACATATACTTTGAAATAAAATATTTGTTTTTGTTTCAATTCCAGATATGTTAAAACTTTAAAGTATAAAATATATCAACCCTGGGAACAAATTATTGGTACTGAATGGTAAAAAAAAGTGTGCATTCATTCTAAATATACAATCATGTGTGAGTGCGAATGCTGCTGAACATTCACATTCAATACTGAATGGCAATCTAGCATTCAACAACAAAACACAGTTTGTTTGTTTTAAAATATTTTAAGCCACTCAGGAATGAAGTTTTTATTTATACAAACCAACAATCAACATTTTGAAAGGAATGCCGAGTGAATGCAGACTATGTTGATTCAATCATTTTACAGCTCTGTCATGTCGTTCGAATGGACAAGGACGCTCCAGCTCTGAAAGTATTCAACTCGGAACCCGCTGGTGGTAGCAGAGGAAGAGGGAGGCCCCCACTGCGATGGAAAGATCAGGTGGAGAAGGACTTGGCTTCACTTGGCGTTTCCAATTGGCGTCAGTTGGCACAGAGGAGAAACGACTGGCGTGCTTTGCTGAACTCGGCCAAAATCGCTTAGGCGGTTACAGCGCCAAAAAAGAAGAAGAAGAAGTTCCCTGTGTAGCCTTAGTCCACCATGCTAAGGATATATTGATTACCTTACGACTGTGCTAAATGACCTACAAGTCAGTTTGGGAGTAAGGAACAGTGAAAAAAGACTTTATTACCTTGTTGATAAAAGCATCCAAGTATGCGTTCGAGTTGAGTGTTTTATCAAGAGTTACCCCCCAAATATTTTGCTCTTATCCAGCTATTGCCTTATATGGTGTGTTATTGAAAGACCGTGCCCTATTTTAAAAACACATAAAGACAAAGGAAAAGATAAAAATATATGGATAAAGATAAAATAGAGAAAAAGTAAAGATAAAGAACAGTATAAAGATAGTGAAAAGATAGAGGAAGGGATATATATATAGAGGTAAAGATAAAGAGATAAAGAAAAATATGAAGATTTTGATATGTTAGGTTGATGTCAGAGAGGAAGCGAGAAGCGATGCTATAAGAAGGCGCTACTTCTAGCTTCAAACCGCTGCAAGCGCATACATAGGCAAAGCGCTAAAAGGTTCAGAGGGAGAGCGAGCAGCAAATCGACTTTCAGCGACTTCGAGATGGCAAAGGGGTAAAGCCGGTTGTGCAATGATTTACCGCTTGAACTCTCTTTGCTATTCTTTGTGTTTGTTGTTTTGGGCGACTATTTTCAATGAAAGTTGTAATTTCGCGCACGTTCGTTAAAATTTTATTAACAGCGGAATATTTTAAAAAGACAAGCACGTGTTTTATTTCAATAATGTGAAATACTAGATCTATTTAATTTAAATTAAGTAATTTGTTTGATCATGTTTATTTCATTATGTATACAAACATACTTATAAAATTTTATTTTAAGTCATCACAAATTCCTTTTCCGCAAGCTAAATATTTTGCTTTTTTTATTCCTTTTTATTGTTTTATAAATAATTAAATGAAAATAAATAAATAAATTCTTTACCTCAAAGTTGTTATTAATTTCTCGCACAGTGTAATGGGACTTTTTATATAATTAGTCCAATTATTTTGAAGAATTCACGCGATTTTATTGAGAATATAGTCAAATGTCGCTACTGACATTCTTGTGTAGTTATGAAATTTATCGGCTATAGGCGCAGTTCCAAATATAAGTTGAATTCACGTTTTGTTTTCCCTTGATGGTTAATTGAAAGCATTCAAATTTTTATTTTTTCTCAAAAAGTGTTAAATACACCCATCGAAATAAAAAACTCTTCGTCGGAATCCATCGTTCACACTGAGCTTCGCTTTGCCGCTTTCACTCCGACACCTTATGGCATTGCTTCATTGGCATTATCGCTTCAAGCTTCAAATCGCTTCTCGCTTCCTCTCTGACACCACACACCTCTTGCTCACAGCACTTCTCCTCGACTCACCTCACCTCACCTGACCTCACCTCAACGTATGAGTTATCTAACAACATCAATGCGTTGTTCGGTTGAAAGTGAGATTTCAAGTCATTGTAATATTTTCTAATAATTAATTTATTTGTATGCTTCCATGGAAAAATGCATTGCTTACTAAAATGTTTAATTTTATGAAGAGTAAGATTGTATTAACATAATTTGGTAGATATTGAGTTATTTGATCTGAGAAAGATATACCGTACTCAGAATTATCTTTTCAGCAATGTGTCATGCGATACGTCATACGTTTTCTCTCGCGTACCCGCACATTTTTCATATGATGTGACCATCGGAATGGACTAGCTGTAGATATTTCATATACTTTTATACCTTTCTTGAGCATTAAATGGTATTATAACTTTGGTCAGATGTATACTGTATACTTGTATGCAATCTAGTCTCCCAGTTTTCGAGATATCGAACTGAAATTTGGTAAGTGAGTGTATTTTTAGAATGTATTAATCATTTGTCGTAACCAGAAAAATCGGGTCACTATGACATATAGCCTCCAAACAACTGATTGTTCAGATAGAGGGTTTTACTGTAAAACTCCTTTCTTTGGACAGCTACAACCGAGAAATTTCGTGAGGTATTTTCTAAATAATCATACAAAGTCTACTGAGAAAATCATAATATCGGTGCTGTATAAGCTTTTTCGCCTATACCACTGATTGTTAAGATATAAGGTTTTGCGATATAACTTTTTTATGTAGGCAACTAAAACCATTAAATTGTGTTACCGGTTTACATTGGTGCTATATAAAGAATATATTCCATACCTCCGATTGTTAAGATATGCTTTTTTATATGTATATGTAACTCCTCCTTATATGCATGCTGTGAATATAAAATTGTTTTTGAAATACATATAGTAATCTGTTAAAATAAAATTTTCTGATGTTCATGACAGGTATGAAGACAGCGCTGCTCTTACTTGTTAATATTACGAATGTGCTGCAAAAGCACAGCCCATCTGAAGTGAGTTGACTTCTACTTGCAACAATGCACTTTCAACATGGGCTGTCAATACTTTAAGACCATCAGAATTGGCATTCAACTTTGAATTCATTTTCTATATGCTGTAAATAAAATTTGGTCAAAATTTAATTTCGTCTGAATCATGTTGAGTAACCGGTTTTTATTGACATCTCTAATAACTAAAGATTTATAATCATCCAGCCCTCCGGAGCTCGATTTATATATAAACAAGCTAAGATCACAAAAAATTTCAATCGATCTGAATTATGATGGGCTTTTGGTCATGAGCCGCCCGCTTATAAAAACAACACACCTACAGCATTTGTCTTCACTGTCAGTTTTCGAAAACACCAACAAAGAAAATGAGAAGCAGATTTACGTTACTTATAAAATTGTACAATGCCTTTAAGCAATTCGTATACAAGCAACCCCACTTTTCTGCTAATCAACTATTTTCATGCACTTGGAAACCGATGTTTTTGTTTTATTAAACATACCAATGGATTGTCATAGAAACATTAAAGTTTGTTTGCGCAAACAAATCAACAGTTCACAGTGTGCATAGAAATTGTAAAATTTAATTCTCTATCATCGATAAATTGTCAAATTTTCATTATTTATTAACTAAGAGCGGTTTTTGTGTACCAATAATTTTTGAAAGCTGCTAACGCTAAGTATGGAACCAACTAGATCGGCCACCTCATTGGAATTTGTCCCCGAAAAAGAATCTACCCGCACGTCACTCGTTGAACCTGGTTCAGACACGACGAACATAAGTGATGTGTATATAGAGAAAATGAAAACTAGGTTGAATATATTTGATCCAATGAATTCTTCGAATGAATTGGATGGAAGGCGAACACTTATCAGGGATGAATATAGGCTGCGAATGAAGTCGGCACCACAAACTTTAGTGCAGAAGACTGAAGAGAAAAAGGATCCCATCGAACGTAAGTTGGAGGAAAGTGATCACAAGTTGCAGAATCTCCTTGAATTTGGTCAAGAGTTGGTAACGAATGTGCAGGTTGCAAACGAGAAGCGCGAACAGATGCGTCGGGCGTATGAGATTGAGCGCAGCCGAGTTCTTAAGAATGATCTCGAAAAGGAATCTATTGAATCGATAGCTCGCTTCAATGAAATAGCTTCTAAATGGTCGGAGCTTGAGGAATTCAAAGAACCGATGGCCTTATTTGAGCATTTGGAAGGGCAAAAGAAAAAAGTAGAGGCGTTAATGGCGAGCAAGGATAACCTAATCGGTCAGTGTCAGAGAGAGATTGATCGCATAAATGCAAAATACTATGCCGATCAGATGGCTGATGCGAATGACGTCCGCTGCTTGGTAGAGCGTATCGATCGTCAAATCGAAGTGATTAAAATGGCTTACAAAAGTCATTTGGAAATATTAGAGAATACTATTAACGAGCAACGGCAAACAATCGCCGTTACAGAAGCTAATAAATGGAGTAAGTTCTACGCCGATATGGAAGAAAGCGAGAAAACGAAATTCGATCTCGCAAAACAGAAGGAGGAGTTCTATGCGGCAGAGATAGCACGTATAACTGCGGTTCAAAAGGAGTTAACAAGCAGGACGCGTATACGACTCGAAAAGGAGGCCGAAATGTTGGAGTGGGAATTACGAAAAGTACGCAACACGGTGCTGATGAACTCCGAAAAGTTGGACTACAACTATCAGGTACTGCAAAAACGCAATGAAGAAAATGTAGTCATTAGCAATCAACAAAAGCGTCGACTAGCCAAGCTTAATGAGAATATTGCTTCGCTTAAACTCAAAATCACCACTATAAATGAACAACACCAAACACAATTGCAACGTTCTGTGGCTGAAATACATAAGCTACATAAGAGTATAAGTGAGCTCGAGGTAAAGGCCCAGCAGTTTCGTGCAAACAACAAACGAAAATTCGATCTTGTGTGGGAAATTAACTTCAAAGAATTAAAAGAACTTTTGACGAAAATCTACAAAATCGATGGAGTACTATACGAGCAACAACTGGCAATGCCTTGGTCCATGCCAGAGCTCGATTTAGCTGACATTAATGAGATATCAAATAAAGAGCACAGAAGTTCTCTAAAGGCAATGAAACGGCGAAACACCATCGTACCTCCTCGCTCACTGGAGCGGAAAGTAGAGACCACTTTTGTTCGCAATATTTTAAGAAAGATAGCTGATCGCGCAGGATTTTTGATTGAGGAGAAACTATTCAAAATACTGGAACCCTACTCGGAGAACGATAAATTCATCGTGCGTCTCGACAACATTTTCATAGCCCTACGTGTTGATAATGTGAAGATGATCTCAACGCTGACCGAATGTTTTCTACCATATGCTTATTGCCCCAATTGTTCTGAAGGCTTGCCAAAAAAAGCCATGCAAGATTTTTATAGGATAGGGCGGGAGTTTGAGGATTTGGTTTCTACGGACGATAGTTCGAGCGAAATGCCCACAGAAGGCAGTTTAGAGTCGCATGATTTTATTGAGAATGAATATGAGAAAAACTTTGAAAAATTAAAAGAGCGGCCATCTTGTAAAAATCATTATTTAGTTATAGAACCAGTGTTTGTGCTTACGGCACTAAACGATTTCACTAAACGACAAATGCAGAATGAGATGACCTATAAAAAATCTCTGGAGACGAATGAGTTACTCTGTAATACCATTTCACTCGACCATAATACTATTAAGTCATTCTGGAGCAAATTCAAAGTATATTTTCCACAAGAGAAACGCAAGCTATGGATTACTTTGGAACATGGTCTGAATCATTATGTAGAGGTGCTGAAACTGCGCACCAAACTCGATGAGGAATGTGCCTTCTTGCGCAGACAAAATATGGAATTAAAGCATTTATTGCAAAAATTTACGGTATGATCGGCGCATGACACGGAGAACATCTGATTTGTGTTATATATGGGTGAATTAGAAAAAATATGGCTATGCACATACATACGTATTCATTTGTATTAACACACACACGTAAATGTAAAAAATGTGCCATTTATATTTTTATTAATATTAGTATTACAATAAATCGCACAAAAATACTACTTTGCAACGATATATTATTTTTCAACTCATTATTTTGTGGAAAAACTGTAGGCAATATTAATGCGAAAATATTGTGAAAATAACAAAAAGACAAAAAATCCTAAATTCAAAACGTTTGCTAAATTTATACAGTGTCAAAAACATAAAAATAAAATTTCTAAACTTTGTGCAAAACTCTAGAAAATTCAATATATTTGTATACTAATTTGCAACTTTGTTTTAAGATTTTATAGCCGCTTCAATTTCAGTATAACAAAGTGGAAGTTTAAAATTGCTAGAAAATCGCGTCGATTTTGGCAATTATTTTACTGGAAGGTGTTGCCTATTTTCTCCATACAAAAACTAATTGTGGAATATACTTTGTATGATACTTTGTATGGAAGAACCTGCTTAAAAAAATTGCCAAAAATCAACGCAATTTTCTAGCAACTTTAAACTTGCACTTTGTTATAATAAGATTGATTGGACGAAACAAATTCATACTTTTTCTAGAAAATCTGATTTGAAGGTTGTAAAGTACTAAGTAAATTTATTGAATTTTCCTGAGTTTTGCACACAGTTTAGAGATTTTATTTTTATGTGTTTTGTTTTAATAAAAAATCGAAAAGCAACAATATTAAAAACAACTGCATGCATTGCGAAAAATTCTCTGTGTCAATACTTTTGCCTGGCACTGTTTACGCAAAGTGGCGAATATATAAATCGGAAAGATACATTTAACCACTCGTTGGCTGTTTACTTAACGTTTATTATTTTTTGTGAAAGTGTAGTTCGCTGTCTAACAAAAGCCATGTAAATCCAACTTTAAACTTTGTGCAAAAATTAGCAAAATTCGACAAGGTCTCATAAAAAGTTTGAGCTTTTAAATTAGATTTCTTAGAAACATTCTGAGTATGTCCATTCAATTTATAACAAAGTTTAAATTTTAAGTATCTAGGAGTTACCGTTGATTTTTTTGTTTTTGTTTTGTGGAAGGTGTGGCTCATTTTCACCATACAAAAAAATTTTCGAGCGTACTTTGTATGGATGAACCTGCGTAAAAAAAATTCCAAAAATCAACGGTGAGTCCTAGCTACTTCAAACTTGCACTTTGTTGTGTTAAACATTAAATGGGCTACAAATATACATACACAAACAAATTCTAAAAAGTCGTTTTAAAAAGTTTCAAATTTTTATTAACATTTGTTAAAATCAGGGTTTGAAAATGCTGTAATATTTTTATTTAATTTGCATTTGCGGTGCTTTGACTTCGGCATATATGATATCGAAAGCAAAGCAAAAGCAATTCAGAAAAACACAAATGCTTTGGCTGCCGTTTTGCTATGAAATTTCGAAAGCAAATTGTGGAATCACAAAGACAGCGCAGCAGCAGTAAATCAACAGGAATTTGACTATAAATTTGCTGGGAAGCATCGAATTGGCAGAAATAGAGGATATTATATGTATGCGAGCGCAAATCCACTAGTCGCTTACCCTGATAAGCTTTGCATTGATGGCGGAGTTAATATGTACTTAGATAATATACCATGCTGCAAAAGCGTCATGTGTATAACACAGCCAAGCAGATAACAGCACAGAAAAAGCACTATCACAGAAAATCGAAAGCAATAAAATTGTTTAAATAAACTGCAGATAAAAAAAAAAAAAAATAGACTTTTCAAAGTTACAGCAAAAGCAAAGCAGTTCGAATCAAAATCGAAGATTTTAAAGCTAAGCAAAAGCGAAAATAGTAATGCTGTTGCTGCTTTGCTGGCAGTTTTTCAAACCCTGGTTAAAATTAGTTAAATTTTTATAAATAGGCGGAGATGTAGAGTTCGCGAGAATTGTTCTTCGATGAATAAAATTTCAATCTCCATTCCCAATATAACTCAATTCAACATCAATTAATTTTGTTTTCCTATTGTTAATTAAGCACGTAAAAGCGTTCTTCAACTGAATTTATCTTTAATATGCAGTAGTTTGCTCTCACCCTCTTTGCTGAGTGTATGGAATTTCTGTGTATGATGTTAAGTGTAAGTAAGGGCCAGGAAATAGTATTGCTCGTACGCCATAAGATATATATGTTACCGGCCAAACGCGATCTTAGGAAAAACTAGTTTTTCCTAGGCTAAACTAGTTCTACCAAGATCCAATATATCTTTCTAATGCAGAAACAAGTTGGACGCAATAATATTGTGGACTGCGTACCTGGAGTTGGACTGTCGAGGGTTATTTTTTGGAGGGGCCGCCTCCTCTGCGCAAAAAACTAGTTTGTCGTAAGATCGGGTTTGGCCGGTAACATATGTATACACTACATGGCGTATGAGTAACATTTTCCATGTTAAAGTTTGAATTTTTTAAATTCGGTATGCAAACTTAAAATGAAAACACCTGATCTAGAAAAAAACGGTATACAGATCCGTAATCTACGACCGAAAATTAACCTTATGGGTCTCGGCACGTAACTAATTTATTCATTGATACAGATGATTTCACATATTACATTAATCTCATCAAAATGACCCGAATATCATGTCAGATACGATACATACCGATGAATCTGACAGTGGAAACGAAAGTACTATATATGAATTGAAAGGCCTGGTACACTACATTCGTGCAGGATGGTGCCACGCAGCCTACACCTACTATGGCGAAGGGCGGTACCGATGCGAGAATATGAAAAACACTTCTCGGGTTAAAGAAACCTAAATCGTTAGCCAAAGTTTGGTTGATTATATAAAAGAAAAAAAAAATTGGAAATTAAATCTAATAAAATTTGAAGGGTAATTTTTTAAATTATAATTTTTTTGGCGTAAGTTTGCAGACACTTTTTTCTTTTCAGGAACTCTAGAACATGGAAAAGCTACTGAGAACAATTAAAATTTTTATGTTTTTTTCAAAAATTTAACTTTTTCTACTTAAAAAAAACTAATTTTTTTCGGCGTAATTTAGCAGAACATTTTTTCCCGCTCAAGACCACTAGAACTGTTGAAAATAACCTCAGAACTGTTTTAATTTCATTTTATTTTTTTCAAATTAACTTTTTTCGACTCAAAAAAAAAAAGGAGTTACTTTTTTTCCTTTTCAGGAACTATAGACGAACTTTAGAAATATTGAAAAGCTACTCAGAACAGCTTTAATTTTTACTTTGTTCAGAAATTTAACTTTTTCGTCTTTTTCTAAAGAAGTGTTTTTTTCGGCGTAATTTTGCAGAACTCTTTCTTTGCAGGAACTCTAGAGCTACTAATAAGCTACTCAGAACAGTTTTAATTTTTTTATTTTTTTTTCGGCTAGAACTCCAGAAATATTGAAAAGCTACTTATAATAGTTTTTATTTAATTTTTTTTTTGAAATTTAATTTTTCGACTTAAAAAAAATGTTTTTTCAGCGTAATTTTGCAGACATTTCTTTTTTCCTTCTCAGGAACTCTAGAACTATTGGAAAGCTACTAGGAACAGTATTAATTTATTTTTGTAATTAAATTTTTTCAACTTAAAAAAAAAAAAATTTTTCAGCGTAATTTGTAGAACTTTTTTTTTCTTTTCAGGAACTCTAGAACTATTGAAAAGCTACTCACAACAGTTTAATTTTTATTTGTTTTCAAAAATTTTATTTCTCCGATTTTTTTTTTCGGCGCAATTTCGCAGATCTTTTTCCTTCCTTTTCAGGTATTAGAAAATGTTTCAAATGATTTCGAAATAGAATTTGGTATAAATGTCCCACTTTTAAAGAAACCAAAGCAAAAAAAAAAACGAAAAAAGCTCCTAGAAGATCGCTTTTTAGCTCATTTTGCCGACAAGATAGTTCTTATAAATCGCTGTCCTGCACCGTCCTTATGTAGCGGAGTACTCAAACCTTCTGAGCTAATACAGTTCACGCGAAGCTACATACTACACATAGTTAAAGAGCAATAATGGCAGATTGTTATCGCCATCTAATAACATACATACATACTTATGTACATACATATGTATATTTATACAAAATATAACTGCAAATATGGTGCACAAAAAGTTGAATGGATATGTGTGGGTGTATGCACCCACTGTGAAACGGCGATTCTTGTCAACCAAAAGGCTTAGAAAAGAAATTAAAGTAAAGAGCTATACTTGTATTTGGGTGAGCTAAATGAAAGTAAGTGGTAGGAACTGAGGCACACAAATATGTGGCCAGCAGCGAGGACGAGGCGTCATATGTCGCTAAGTAGCTAACTTTGTAGCAAAAGCTTAGAGAACTTTATTTTTATTTTTTGCATGGGCGATCGTTCGAGTGGTATATTGGAGTTGAAAGCTCCTGCTTGATGACGGCTGATATCTGATAGCTGATGGCGAACTAGTTGGCGCGCCAACCGCAACTAAAAAGTCCAATGACCACCAAGTTGATGTGTTTGCACGTGGTCCCACCGAATATCTAGTGCTTTCACCGTTATAATGTCGCATATGCTCCGCTAAAGAATGCAAATTTTTTTCTATTCACGTAGCACTACTTTCTTCTGCCTTAGACTACTTTTTCTTCATTTTGCGCTTTTGCATTTTAATTTTCTTAAATTTTTTACATTCACTTTGTTGTGTTCTTTTAGTGTTTTTACTTTTCCACTAACAAGTTTTTCACATTTGGTTATTTAGCTTGATAGAAGAAAGTTTTTCCACAATGAAACTTTTGCCGAGCAGCAAAGAAAATGCTAGTCGAGGAGTAGTGCAAACTCAAAGCGAGAAAGCGGGAAGGCATGAGTGTGAACTGGAGACAGATATAAAATAAGTGGCTTTGCAAGGAAAAAGTTGGCGACATGGCTGATACTAGCTGTCCACCGCTGTCCGTTTACTGTGCATTCCTCTTCCCTT